TTATTTATGGTATTACTTTGATTCCAAGTAAACTTGGGCCATAAGTAAGAAATAATTAATAGTAAATAAATAATAATTCTTACAGTCATGACGTATGACTAATAAATGTATTCATCTAGGGATAACTCTGTCATTGATGAACCATCTACTTAATCAGTCCTCTCTTTCTTGTCCTTTATATTTCACTAGTTATCTTTAATGTCTTCTAATTAACTTGTATATGGTGACATAGTAATGCATTAAATCTTCTTTTCAGATTATTAAGTTTTAATTTCAATATTTCACGTTACACCGAAATTTAATCCTTCAACAAAAGGTTCCTTATAATCACTAACAAAAAATTACAATATATAAATCATAAAGTTACAATTAATATTTAGAAAGTTCATTATTTTCTTATAGTGTCTAATATTTATAGTTTTGAATTAAACTACTTGAATCTTTATATGTACTCATAAGCTTTTGAACAACATAATCAATGTATTATATTGCAAACATGGTTAATATTTTATTAACTTGAAAGAAATATTCCAAGTTATATAATAAGAAATGGGAGCCATACTTTTGCATACGAAGTTATAAACTATGAACATATACTAATGGCTAGTTATATAATAATACCAAAGTCTTAGAGATCAAAAGTGAATGATTTATTGATTTTATGGTTGAACCACCCATATCTTTCATCAACGTCTATTGTGTGATCCAAATGAACTCCTATTACAATACCCACCCTTCATTCACTATTCTAATACTCATACTATCCTATTAGCCATAAAAAGAGGACATGCTTCCGATTATTGTTATCTCCTCATTATGCAATCCAAATCAAATTCTCCTACTACCCTTCGAAAGAAGGACATGCTGCCGCTTACCAAGCTACTATCCTTCAAAAAAAGGACATGCTTCCGGCTATTGTTTTCCATTTGTATTGGTCGATCATGCCATGTCTTGTATTGTCGTTGGGGTGCACTCATACTTTACGATTGAATAAGGATGCACTCATACTTTACGCTTGAATAAACACCTCAATTTTTTTAGTATTAGGTTGATTAAGGATTGAGATTTCTTCATTTTAGAGTAACCAACTTCAACTAAACAATTTTTTTTGAGTATTAAGTTTGATTAAGGACCCGGATTTCTAGATTTTAGAGTAACTAAATTTAACTACACCAAAGAGGGTCTGTTTTGTTTGTTGAGGTGACATCTAGGTTAAGTAAATAGCATAGTAAGGCTATTGCTATGTTTCCAATTATTAAATTTTTTTTTTCTCTCTCTTTATACTGACAGCTGTGTATAATTTGCAATGTCTTTTTTTTTTTTATCATTTTGTGACATCTTGCAAGTTGGGGACTAGGAAGAAGCTTAAAAATTTGGAAATAGTCTTTTTGGAAAGAATTAAAATTCTGGAAAATTTGGCTAAGTATGGAAAATAATGAATTTTTGGCCAACTTTGAACAGTTATAACTCCTAGCTCAGGATGATATAGGTGTGGTTCCAGTTATGGTTGCAAAGTTCGTGGATTGGTCTTTCCAACACCATCGATTTTGCTCGTTTATGAGTTCGTATGAGAGAGTTATGCCCTTTGAAAGTTGGGCAGTTGGCAGGGAATCCGTCCGGAAATTGTAAGGGTATTTTGGTCTTTTCCCTAGCCTTGTTTTTGGATTTATATTAAGGTGTAAGACTGATTTTTGATCAGTTTTTCCTTTTTTAAAAAGAGTAAGAGTTAGGGTTCTTGAGAGAAAAGGAGAGAAAGGAGAAGAAGAAGCAAACTTCGTAAAGATCGTCGTGGTTTTTCTTCGGGGGTGATCCCTAATAAGGTATGTGAGTTCATAGTGTTGGGTTGGTTCTTTCCCCCACACGCCAAGCTTGTTTAATTTCGAGAAAAGATTGAATATGTTTGTTGAAGTTGTTGGTTATAATTGTTGAAGTTGTAGTTGTGTTGTGTTGAAGTTCTTGTTGGTTTGGTGTATGTTTCGATTGGTGTTTGTGAGTTGAATCTATTGCATGTTGAGAGGTTTATGATCTTAAGTGTTTGGGGCTGGAAACTTTGATGTGTAGAAGGTTTAGAGTTGGAGAAAACTAAGGAGAAAAGTCAGTTTTCGTGGAAAAAGGGTGGGGCGTCGCGCCTGTCAGCGCGCCCCAAGAAGAGCTCTGAACTTTCCCCCTTGGGGCAGCGTGCCCATCAGAGCGCCAGCAGGCCTCCTCTGAAGTTTTTGGTTTGGCGCTCCGCGCCTCTCAGAGCGCCAAGAGCGCCAAGTTTTCCCATTCTTTCCCCACTTTCTCATACATGTTCCTAGATGTTGTACCTATGTTCCCAGTTGTTTCCAACACCCCAAGGTATGTTTAAACGTCAAGAACTCATCCATAACACGTGATCAAACACTTTGAATTCATGATTCCAATTCAAGGAGAGTTAGTTTCCAAGTCAAGTGAAGTTAAGAGTTGAGTTAGAAGTTAAAGAAGGGAGTCAAAGCAAGTCTTTAAAGCTTTCTAAGAGTCTTTGTTGAATGTTTTAACTTCATTTTAAGGCTCAAGTTTCAAGTTAAGTCAAGTTTCAAGTTAAGTCAAGAGTTTAAAGTTGAGTTCATTTCTCAAAAGTTATTAGGGAACTATGTATTACCAAAGAAGTTTCCAAATGTTTTTTACATTTGAGTAAGAAAGGAACTATGATTCCAAAAGAGCCTTTGGGCTAGTTTTCAAGAAAAAAATGAACATTGTTTCCAAGTGAGCCTTCGGGCAAAGTTTTGAGTAATTATCTCAAATAAAGAAAGATGTGTTTAAAACACTTATGAACTAAGTATTTTTGGGAGTAGTCTTGAGCACCGAATTGGGGACACGAGTTCATATTAACTCAACTCTCCATAAGAACCATGCGCCAACATGGGAGTTAACGGGTCATACTTTTTAGATGAATACGTAAGATTAAGCTAGTGGATCCACTTAGTAAAGTTAGCTTCCTATATCACGGCAAGGTATAGGATGGTCCTTGGGCAACGTGAGGTAAAACGTTGTATCACCACTAGGGCTCATAGTGGTGATTGTCGGTTAAAGAATCTCCCACTAAAGTTATATTACTTTTATATAAGTAAAGTCGAGTTGTTATTGTTTTATCTTTAACAAGCTAAGTTGATTACACTACTTTACAAGCTTTATATATTGCATGTGTCTTATTGCTTTATATATTGAGTTCATTTATTCATGAGTTGAACAGAGCCAAGGTAAGAGTTCTTTTGTACTTCTTCCAAGCTTAAGTTGTGGTTTAGCTTTCCAGCTCGCATACTCGTACATTCAATGTACTGATGTCAGTTGGCCTGCATCTTATGACGATGCAGACACAGGTACCCAGGGCCAACAACCGGTTCGCCGTTGATCCTGGTGAGCCTCTTTGCATTCCGGAGGACTCGATTATTTTGTTCTCTTAGTTTTGTTTTATTAGGATGTTGTGGGGTCTGTCCCAACATCCATCTCAGTATTATAGAGGCTTCATAGACAGTCAGTCAGTTGGTTTTGAGTCTCTCATCTTTGTATATATATGTAAATATTCTATTTTGAGACTCGAGTTTCCTTTTTGGCCAGATTTTATTTCAGTCAGGTTGTTTTAAAACCTTGCATTGCATTGAGTTTTTCGCTGAGTTAAGAAAGCCAGGCCAAGGGTTCGCTTGGGGGCCAGCAGTGGTCTTCGAGTGTCGGCCATGTCCAAGGTGTAGGCTCGGGGCGTGACACATTTAACTTTAATTCTTGATATACGCTGATTCAGACATTATATCATATTGGTTGATATATTGGTCGCATTGCTAAAAAATGTGTAAATATCATAGATCACATTGTTGGTCCTGATTATAAATAGTGCAAGTAATTAAGAATTCATGGGGTAAAGAAGACATTCTTGCTCTATAGATTATTGGTAAGTATATAATCTGTTGCAAAGCTTTTATATTGCATCAACTGAAGCTTCGTAACCTTTGTTTATCATACGCGAGTAATGTATTGCCTTTATGGACCTAATTCCCAACAAAGTTATTTTCTATTCAATGTCTTAAACTCTATCCTCATATCTCTTAAATTATAAATCTGTGAAAGGAGGAAATTAGATATTTCTAAACCGGACTTTGATAAAACAGAGGAAATACTGATACATTTTCTTTTGATAAGCAGAAGAATCATTTGTTCTTAAAGAAGCTTCATCTCCATTTCCCTTCCCTTTTGCCGTTAACATTGATGAACAATCTACTCAATCAGTCCGCTATTTCTTGTCCTTTATTTCACTATGATTCCTAGACATTTGTTATATATTTTTTAGAGTTTGTCCTATATTATGTCGGATTTAAATGAACGGGCTTGTTTATGTCGCCAATACCTAATTTTGGCCTAAAACTTTGATCCTTGAGGTCAACAATCTTCTATTGGAGAGGAGTACTGACACACAAATTCCAGAAGTTAGTTAGAAAAGACATGTCAACAATCCTAGTCAACAAAGTTGTTATAGGAGTTAGTTACATGTACGGTTAGTTAGTTAGGAGTGGTTACAAGCTCAACTGTATTCCAATGCATTCAATAGTAACAAGCTGTGATAGGACTGTTTAGCCACATTCTCATCTCAGCCTTCTCCGGCCCATTTCTGGTGTGAGCGCACATTAGAAATTCACACGGCCCTATTGTGCTCCTAGAGAAGACCTAAGATGATAATGGTCAAGTCTCCGAGCAATTCTCTTAAGGACGATGTCTCTTACTTGTCAAATTACAGTAATTTCCAATATAATTCAACAAATAACATCCAAGGAAAGAAAAAACTCTTGAAAATTAAGGTTTCCCCTTCTGTAATGCAGTATAAGATTAGATGTTCATGACTTCATCTTGCTAGAAATTACATTTTGGCATTTGGTAGCTAAAAACTGAAGACTTATCTAAATATCCAAGGCTAACATATAGTTGAAGCTAAATAATACAGAATCCGCTACACAAGAATCATGATGATGAGAAAGAGGGTCCCCGGCATACTATTTTTTTTGATGGTTCACATATATTTTCAATTTAGGAGATGCTCGAGGAAACCCCATCAACTCCTTTGAGGATTTGCTTTCATGAACACTTTCTGCATCTTCATTAAGGACGGTTATCAGGAGTAACGGTGCAGAGGCAAGTATAAACCGTACAAAGAACATTTCAGTTGTTGAACCATGAAAGTTTTTTATTATCAATCTTTGAAGCTTGTGGAGTAGTCCTAGTGTCCTGTAGGCTGGTCCTTCAAAATGGTTTACATTTACTTCGATGCCACCTTTCTTCTTCGAGCTCAACCAAAAAACAAGGTTATCCAAATTGGGAGAAATTCTAAGCATTCGTAGAAGAGCAAATATATGATCTTCATCATCAAAATCAAACTCAATTAACAAGAGAGTCCTCAAGTTGTTGAGGTATGTGGGGAACCTCTCTGCTTCAGTAGTAACAGACTTGAGGTAGTAAGTGTGCAGACCAAAATTACGAACTTCAGGCCAGCACTTGAGAAGATAGGTCATGTTTTTCGGTTTATCTTGATTTGTTCTTGATGATGTAAGTATAACTGTTGTCAGCATCCGACAATCCATGTAATGACCCAACTCAAGGGTTTTGGTTCTCATGGTAAAGAATAATATTTGGGAAAGTTTTGGAGCATATATTTTCGAGTTAGGAAAGCCAATACACAACTTAACTTGCAGAAACACAAGGTCTGGCATCCACAAGAAAGAAGTTGTAACGTCTAAATGTAAGACAACTTTAAGTAGTGAAAGGTTTTTGAGCATGTGGAAACCCGTAAAGCTGCATGTCGGCCTGAAAGTGCAGTTGGACAGGCTCAAACTTTCTAGTTTATTTATGCCGTACAGGCAGGAAGGCAATTTATAAGGAGCATTGTTGAGAATCAGACGATCCTTGTCTAGATTCTCAAGGGTGAGATTCATGATACCGTTTCTTGACAACAAAAGCAACCATTCATCAATAACTGAGTGCTGAGAAGAAGGTATTGATGAGATATTGACGAGGAATGTCTTAATGGCTCCACAATGTTGCAACAGAATTGTATTAATGACGTCTATTATTAATGGCTTGTTGTGGCAAAAGTCAGCAGAAAATACAAGCTTGGGAATTGAAACCCAAATATGTTTCCACGGTCTAGACAAAACACTCATTCTTGCCGCTTCTTCCACAGATAAGTACTCCTGAATCTGGTGTTTGACATTAATAGGGAGATCTGTAAGTCTATCAACTTTGTCCCTTTCAACTTTAAGTTTCTTAAGGCAGCTACTGATCATTGCCACTTTGAATTCTGAATAGCTGGAAAGAAAAAAAAACGTTAGAATATAAGATTATAAACATGCTTCAACCTCATGTCTAAGACAAAAATAAATCGGAGGTCTAACTTAGTTGAATGATTGTTAAACAACAGAGGTGGACTTCAGACTTGTATTTATTGAAATTTTAGTAGTTTTCACATACTTTTATCACAATAAACATCCAGTTATAGAATGTATATTATTCTAAACAAGTAAGAGATGTTACACAAATTAAATCATCCAAAATCTGAAACAACTACTTGTGACACAAAACGGTAGTTACAGATTAAAAACAAAACTTTTTGGTGAATCTTTAGATCCAATATCATCTATGTAATACGAAACAGATAATTTAAAATTAACTTTGTAGAGCATTCTTCGAATTCAACCATTTGCAAAGAGAAAAGAAAAGAAAAGAAACAAAATACCTATGATTTGAAGAATGCTTCAGATAGAACGGCGACGATGTGTGTTTGTCTCAGAAGCAGCTCTCCATTGTGCGGCCTATTGATTTACTTTTCAAAGTTATCAAAATTATAATGGTTTGTTAGCGGAGTTTCAGGACTTATAATCTTTAAATTAAAATTTTTTAGTCTTATTTTTGTTAGTTTTTATACATTATATAAAAAAATATAATAAATCATAATTTTTTACAATTTAAAATATTTGAAAACATAATAAATTTAAGGGTTACTTTCGCAAATAGCCACTATAGCAAACTTAATTATGGTCCATAGCTATTGTTTGCATATTTACAGGCTGTAGGTACAGTTTAATTCGCGGATATATTTGTATAATTCAGTTATTTTTGTATAAACTCGAAGTAATGAATTTATACAATTATAAACATCAGAAGTGTAAACACTTATACAAATTCCGAATTATACAAATTCCGAATTATACAAACGTGCGAATTATACAAAACTAAAATTTGAGCAGTGTAATTATATCTAAAAGTAGATCGCGAATTGTAATTAAGGCAAACTATAGTTGTGTTAACTAAGTAACTAATATATGTTTGCTTATACACATAATTTTCCGTAAATTTAATTGATTCTTGAAAATTTTGTCATTGTTACATAAAATGGAATAGAGGAAGTAACTTGTATGGTTTGAAAATGACGTAAAAATATTATAAATCACAATAATTAACAACTTGAATATTTAAAAACATGTAAAAAAATTGTTGACTCTTTAAAATTCTATATGTGCCATATAATGGGACAAAAGAACTGATATACATTATTTGAAAATTACATAGAATCTATATATATATATATATAAGCTGGATAATAAGTCCGCTGATGTGGCATAGCTCATTGGCCAGTATTATTATTTCTCTATTTTCTCAGAATTTTGAATTTTTTTCTTCAATTTCTGTTAAAAAGTTTTTATAAAAAATTATTCTCTTTCTTTATTATTAGCATTTATTGCAGTTAATGAATAATTCCAATACTATTTAACAATTATTTAATTGAAGAAATTACGTGTTATATTAATAAGGAAAGGGAGTAATTTTACCATATTATTAATAAGGAAAGGGAGTAATTTTACCGTGTTATTAAATAAGGAAGGGAAGTCATCTTACGTAGCCGTTACATTTGGATTAAATAAATGCAATAAATGCTACTAATAAAGAAAGAGAGTAATTTTTTATAAAAACTTTTTAACAGAAATTGTTGGTATTATATTACAAAATAATTGGAATTAACTATATATTTAAAATTTAAAATTAAATTAGCAGTAACACAAACGTTAGCACTACGTTTTAATTTTTTAAAAAGACGTTAGCACTATATTTTAATTTTAAAAAAAACGTTAGCGCTAATTACAACACTTCATAATTTTTTAATAATTACAACATTAATGATTATATTTAATTTTTAATAGCTATTTAAACTCTGTTAATCCTCAATATTTTTCTAAGCATATTCTCGCCACAACTAATTAAATTCATTTACTTATTGTTCCTTTGAGAAATAAGAGGCTGTTCCTTAAGGCTTGAAGTACATAATCATTCTTTATTCCATTAATAATTTTCCTGTTCTCTGTGATTTCTCTTCTTTTTTTTTAAAAAAAAAATACCTCTAACTATAGATGTTAAAATTGTGGAGTGATATTCAGCCGTAAGTATTTATATTACATTATTACTTTATATTTTATGCATAACTGTATTGTTACCTCATTTTTTTAGTGTTTTGAGCTTATTATAAATTTTATGTGTACAGAAAATGTGTTGAACGAACATGATCGAAAAGAGGAGATTTTGGCTCCTTTTGAAGCAAAGGTACAAAGATTGAAGGATGACTACGTCCTCACCTCGTGAGAAACACATGCGAAGAAAAAAAATAAGAGATTTAAAGTCGATCGGGCTCGCCACTGGTGTTCCCAAGTACAAGCCAAGAAGGATTATCTCAATGAGTTTGGATTAGTTATTTGATTCCTAATGAAGTTTTATTGTTTTATTTTTAGTGAAAGAAATTTCCGGAAAACAATTATTTTGTACTATATAATAAAAGAAACAAACCTACTACTATTAGAATCACATACAAAAAATCGTATTTAAAAATGAAATCTTTTTATATATTTTTCATTTTTTAAAGAAGATATAATAATAAAAAGAATACCGTTCATCTATATTTCATGAATATTTATAATTGTTTTTTTTTTATGCATAAACATGAAGAGTTCATCATATTTGTTTGACAAAATTTGTATTTTAAAAAATCTTTACTAAATTGATTAATATACCGCGCGAAGCGCGGCTATGTTTTCTAGTAAACTATAAATCACAATAATTAACAACTTAAAATACTTAGAAGACATATAAAGAGTCGATTGTTTCTCAAAATTCCATAAATGTATATAAATTGAAAAAAGTAGTAAATAACATATATTATTTGAAAATGACATAAAAAAAAAATAACCCCATAGTAGACCTCATACAAGCACTCTCCCAATCAAAGATTATATCTGAAATACCCCTTGTTCAGTCTAATCATGAAATTCTCTTTTGCCTTTTAACTCTAAAGACTACACCTCTTTGTGTTTGAGTTCTTAAAGAACAATGCTATATTTGATAACTATAAAGGGTGGTAAAGGAATATTTAGTGGTAATGATGTTTTGGTTGGGTGAACGCAAAGAGGGTTGCATGACTAGTAATGTCAAAATGTGTTAAAGTGGAAAAGAAGAATGAACTGATAATAACAAGTGGATCTGAAATAAAGTGAGAAAGTAATAATTCTAGAATATTAGTTAATGTCAAGCATGATTTGGTATTGACCTTATATCGATTAATGTGACTTGAATGTAATAAGTAGGATAATAAATTAGGGATAATTTCAGAGACCTAGATCTCTTCAGATTTCGCTTTATAACACTCACCTCTATGTGATTTACGATATTACGTTTACCTCTTTTATTTTCATTTTCTTGTAACCATTCTTTAAATCTATTTAAAATAAATATAAATTGATTTAAATTTGACAATTTTACCCTTCTATAAATTAATTTCTTCATATTAATAAATATATATCAAAAAATAAAATACAATCCGATAAGAACGTTCTTGTTCTAGTTATACATTTCCATGAGCTAAGAAGAAAAATGATCCAAGAAATAGAGATAAATTCCAAACACAATATGTACTCGCATGTCACCCAATGCTAACATGCAGTTGAAGCTAAATAATACATGATCCACTACACAAGAATCAAGATGATGAGAAAGAGGGTCCCTGGCCTTTTTTTTATTTTTTATTGTTCACATATATTTTCAACTAGTGAATTTGATCACGCGGTTTATAAAAAAATTAATAAATAAATAAAAATAATATTTTTATAAATTCATATAGAAGAAATAAATTTTGATTTTATTATATTGATTAAAACACAAAATAATATTGTAATTGGTGTTAGATGAACATCATTTAAAAATAAATAAATTAGCATTTCAAATGAAAAAAATGAAATAAAACCTATTAAAACTAAAATCATAAAAAAAACAAACACACAACATATTTTTTAACAAAGTGAAGTACAAATGACATTACTATATACATATTTGATATAGGTTTTGAGACAATATATTGAAAAGAGCACAAGTTTTTTTCTTTAAAAAATTGATGAATCATTGTATGTACAATAATGTAGTTGTATAAACAGTGATACTTACTCATAGCATTTCTAAGAAAACTTGCGTAGTTATGCTTTCTATACTCATTTAGCATACTTTTATGGTGACAATTGTCACGGATTTGGAGTCTTACTAAAGCTCCGTGTGACACTTGACAACTTACTCACTAATTTTTCAAGATCTTGTAAGCTCAAGTAAGCCCTTTGAACTTAAGATCGCTAAGAGAATGAAAAGAAAGACTTAGAAAGCTTTGGAAGAAGGCTTTTGTATTTCTTGTGGAATGCTTACAACTTGGTTGGATTGCTTGCTTCAAGCTTGGATGACTTACAAATGAATGCCCCATCTATTTATAATACATCTAGGGGATAAAGTATGATTAAAAATTACTTGTCAAGTCCCTACAATATTTACACTTGGGTCCCATTCTAGAATACTCTACAAATTCTAGGAAATTCTAAAGCTTTCTTGGAAATTCTCTAGGGAGTTCTAGAGTGTTCTACTAACCTCCCCACAACTCTAGATTCTTCTCCCTTATTCCGGTGCCAAATTTGAACTGTGAAGTGGCAAGACATGACACTCTTCCCCACCTATTGATCCGACGACCGCGTCGTATTGTCGCTGCATCGACAACCGAGTCTTACCTTCTTATACGTGTGAACAATAGTCTATTGACTCGATCAACGCCCTCATGCAACTCCTTCAGTTGTTTCCTTATGTCTTCTAGCTCGGTCTTATGCTCTACCTCCTTCCTAGGAGGCAAACGCCTTGGCGACTTCTCCAACATCACGACCTTGTTCTTTTTTAGAACCTTCTTCGTGCATGGTGGCAAGGACCCTTTAGCACCATTGTCTTCTTTTGAACTTGCAGTGGTGGCTATGAATGTTGACTCCTTCCTCTTAGGGTTTCTCTCGAGTTGCATAGTTGTTAGACGGACTTATTCTTCCGTCTTTGGTACCTTAATCGAGGGCACCATATATGATCCTCCTTGCTCCATGACTAGAAGTCGTTGGAGGTAAGGGTCGATCACCGCGTGGCACTCTTGGAAGAACTCCTGCCCTAGAATGTTATCAAAGAGGTCTAAAGGAGTGACGGTGAAATTGGTCTTACCTTGCCACTCGCCTAACGTGATGCTTACTCTATATAGGCACATAACTCCACACACGGGACTCGGTGGTGCATTGACCGTCCTAGCGTTACTTGGACTGTAACTCAGCCCCAACTTTGTTATTGTCGTTTTGGTCATGATGTTGGCCTCTGCACCCGTGTCGACCATAGCACATGCGGGTCTTCCATTAATCATGAGGTCGACATATTGCGCATCGTATCCTCTTGGCTTATCTGGCTGCTTCGTGATGGCTCCGCATAGACCTATTAATCCCAACTGCATCGTCTCTGCATCTTGATCTTATTCATGTTCATCCTTTTCTTTCCGCTCTCGCAGGATAGCACTAAGGCTCTTCAGTTCAGGGAACCTAGCATAGCCATGCGGCCCACCACATATATAACAACCATTTCTTTTGGTTGTTTCTGCCTTTCTCTCCGTGTCACCATGACATTCATACTTCTTGCCATCGAACCTATAAGTATCATAATTCTTGGAACGTGGCCGCTGCTCCTCGACTTTGCTACGATCTCCCCCACCATGGTCATGACTACCTCTCACTTCCTTTCAATTGGCTCTGTCGAGCTTTTCATGCCTGAAGTTTGTCAAAGCTTCGGCCTGCGTGATCACTTCATCGATAGTCCAGACTTGTCGGCATTCCAACTCCGTCCTGGCCTAATTTTTGTAACATCCGACAATTTGAAGTGGCTTTGAAGAAGCTTGAAATTTGGAAATAGTCATTTTTGGAAAAATTTAAAATCTGGAAATTTGGCAGTCCAGAATCTGGAAAATTTGGCTAAGTTCAAAATCTGGAAATTTTGCTGAGTGTGGAAATCAGTGAGTTTTTGGCCAACTTTGAGCAGTCATAACTCTTATCTCAGGATGAGCCAGGAGTTGTTCCAGTTATGTTTGGAAAGCCCTTGGACGATCTTTCCAACGCCACCGAGTTTGCTCGATTCCGAGTTCGTATGAGCGAGTTATGCCCTTTGAAAGTTGGGTAGTTGGCAGGGAGTCCGTCCGGAAATTTAAGGGCATTTTGGTCTTTTCACAAATCATTTCTTTTGAGGTTATATTGTGTGTTAGGCTGATTTTGGATCATTTTATCCCATTTTAAAAGAGAAAGAGTTAGGGTTCTTGAGAGTGGAGAAGAGAAGAAGAAGAGAAAAAGAGGAGAAGAAGAGGAGAAAGGGAAGATCAAGCAAGATTCTTCAAGATCATCATGGATTTTCGTCGGGGGTGATCCCTATCAAGGTATGTGAGTTCTTAGTGTTGGGTGATCCTTTCCTCCCACACACCAAGCTCATTTTTTTATGATTTGAGAAAAGATTGGAATTGTTGAAGTTGTTAGTTGTTGTTGATGTTGTTAGTTGTGTTGTTGAAGTTATTGTTGGTTGTGGGACATGATTGGGTTGTGTATTTGAGTTGTAATCTCTTGTATGTTGAGGGATTTTATGATCCTTAGTGTTGGTTGGTTCATACCCCCACACACCAACTCGTTTTTAATTCCAAGAAAAGATTTATTTTGGTTGTTGAAATTGTTGGTTGTGTTGTTGAAGTTCTTGTTGATGAGGGATATGTTTCCGGTTATATTCTTGGGTTAAATCTATTGTATGTTGAGGGGTTTTATGTTTCTAAGTGATTGGGGCTGAAATCTTTGAAGTTGAGGGCTGGCAGAGTGCAGAGTGCCCAGCAGTCCCATTTGAAGTTGAGGGCTGGCAAAGTGCAGAGTGCCCAGCAGTCCCATTTGAAGTTGAGGGCTGGCGCCCCGCGCCTCTTAGAGCGCCAAGGACGCCAATCCTTCCCGTTACCTTCATTCCCCACTTTTTCCTAGTTGTTTCCAACACTCCAAGGTACTTCTAAAAGTCAAGAACTCATCTGTAACATGTGATCAAACACCTAGAATCCAAATTTCAATTCAAGTGAAGTTAGTTTCCAATTCAAGTGAAGTTAGTTTCCAAGTCAAGTGAAGTTAGTTTCCAAGTCAAGTCGAGTTAGAAGTCAAGTGAAATTAGAAGTCAAGCTTAGAAGTTAAGAAGTTAGTTCAAGCAAGTCCTCCAAGCTTTTCAAGAGTCTTTATTGAACGTTTTAACTTCATTCTAAGGCTCAAGTTGCAAGTCAAGTAAAGAGTAAAGAGTCAAGAGTTTAAAGTTGAGTTCATTTCTCAAAGTTATTAGGGAACTATGTATTCCCAAAAAAGTTTTAAAGAAATGTCTTTACATCTAAACAAGGTTGGAAACTGAGGTTTCCAAAGAGCCTTCGGGCTAGTTTTTGAGTAATTATCTCATATCAGCAGGAATAAATATGTTTTAAAAACATAAGAGCCAGTACATTTTTGGGAGTAGTATCGAGCACCGAATTGGGGGAGCGTTCAAAGAACCCACAGCCCCCATAGAACCATGTTAGCCACTATGGGTAGAAAAGGATCATACTTTTTAGATGAATCCTTTTCAGATTAGACTAGTGGATCCATTAGGCAGTTCAGGTCTTATACCTTTGGCTGGGTATAAGATGCTCTGGCAGCGTGAGGTCGATCGCTGTATCATCACTATAGCTCTTATATGATGGTTGTCGGTTAGAGAAACTCCCACAGCAGTTATTGTATTTTCATACACAGAGATTATTGTATTTTTATATACATCAGTTCATTGTATTTCTATATACATTTCAGGCTTATTGTATCTTTGTATACACACAGAGTTTATAGCATGTTTTAAACAGTCTTTCTTTATATCGCACTTGTTTTAAATTGCCTTATATTGAAAGAAGTCAGTCAGGTTGAGTTGAGTTGAGCCAGGTAAGTTATTCAGTTTCTTCCAGATTTCCTTCTAGCCTATGTTGCTTAGTTTTCCAGCTCGCATACTTGTACATTCCACGTACTGATGCCAGTTGGCCTGCATCGTCTCATGATGCAGATACAGGTACCCCGGATCAGCATCCTGCACGTCGTTGATCCAGCTGAGCACTCCAGAGTGAGTGGTGAGCCTCCTTGCATTCCGGAGGACTCAATTGTTTTGTGTTCTTAGTTTTTGTTTTATTAGGATGTTGTGGGGTCTGTCCCAACATCTATCTTAGTATTTTAGAGGCTTCATAGACAGACAGTCAGTCAGTTAGTTTTGAGTCTCTCATCTATATATATATGTAAATATTCTATTTTGATATTCGAGTTGCCTTTATGGCCATATTTTATAAGTTAAGTTGTTTTGTAATATTGCATTGCATTGAGTTATTCTGTTGCGTTAGGTTTCCATTGAGTTAAGAAAGCCAGGCCAAGGGTTCGCTTGGGGCCAGAAATGGTCTCCGGGTGCCGGTCCCGCCCAGGGTGTAGGCTCGGGGCGTGACAATTTTGTAGCCCATCCATGAAGTGGAACAACATATCATCAAGGTTAGGAATCTGAAGCATGAGGGTAGTGACCTTCTTCACATATGCGCGTATGCTGCCCGTCTATTTCAACTCCCAAAACTTACGTTTCGCCTCATATATGACATTGTTAGGGAAGAAAGCCCTCTTGAACTCCTCTTGGAATTGCTCCCAAGTGTTGATGGTGCAAAGTCCCATCCCTATTTCTAACACTTTACGCCTCCACCATAGCATGGCCATCTCCAAGAGGTACAACACAACAATGTTGATCTTGTTTTCATCGCTCTTCACTCGGGTTCACTTGAAGTAATTCTCCAAGTGACATAAGAAATTCTCCACCTCTTCCATGTCACAGACTCCTTTGAATATAGGTGTCTTGGGAACCTCGACCATGGCCTCCCTATCGCGGTCGGATGACGTTGATCCTCTAACTTCCACACCCTCCTTAAGTGCTTTCATCTCGGCTTTCATGGTCTCAATCGTGCTGAACGCCTCCATGAGCCGACACTCCAAGGAAGTGATAGCCTCCTTCATTTTGAACTCGGCACACTGGCGTCCCTCCAACTCCTTGCGGATATTGTCAGTCTCCTCAAGGGTGAAGTCCTCGAGAGTCTTGAACTTTCCATCGGCCACGTTCAAACGCCGGCCTAATATCTCCATGGCCTGCCTCGCCATTTCAACCCTTGCAATCCACTCCTGTCCAGGTGTTATGTCAATGGGCTCCTCGCCACGGTCATCGTCACTTGCTTCGGTGGTCAAAGATTGGTGAGATGTCAGCGCCTCGCTTGGTGTCGGGTCGAGCAACATTTCCTCATTACTCTTTTGGTGCTTCTTTCCCTTGCGGTTCTTCCTTCCACCATCTAGCCGGACGTTGGTGGTGCTAGCGGCGTTCACGTCTCCTTCGTTGGCCATTCTCTTAGTATCAAACCTTTGCTCTGATACTACATTGTCACGGACTTAGAGTCTTACTAAAGCTCCGTGCGACACTTGACAACTTACTCACTAATTTTTTAAGATCTTGTAAGCTCAAGTAATCCCTTTGAACTTAAGATCGCTAAGAGAATAAAAAGAAAGGCTTAGAAAGCTTTGGAAGAAGGCTTTTGTATTATTGCTTGTGGAATGCTTACAACTTGGTTGGATTGCTTGCTTCAAGCTTGGATGACTTACAAATGAATGCCCCATCTATTTATACTACAACCTAGGGGCTAAAGTGCAATTAAAAATTGCTTGGCCAGTCCCTACAATATTTACACTTTGGTCCCATTCTAGAATTCTCTACAAATTCTAGGAAATTCTAAAGCTTTCTTGGAAATTCTCTAGGGAGTTCTAGAGTGTTTTTCTAACCTTCCCACAACTCTAGATTCTTCTCCCTTATTTCAGTGCAAAATTTGAACTGTGAAGTGGCGAGACACGACACAATAGAGAGAATGATTGATCATCTAATTCAAGAAATTACTTC